GGTAGTTGAGCGGAACTCTTGAGTCCTTATTTCCTTTAGGTATCGGTGAAATAATTGCCCGTCTCCATATCGTAGGCACTATTCCAAATTTGAAACAGGCATTTAACAAAGTATGGATTGGAGTCAACAGTCGATCACATTTTAACACTTCATTTGGTAAATTTTCCTCACCAACGGCTTTACCTTTTTTCAAATTAACCATCACCTTTTTCACTTCACTTAACTCGATTTCATTGTTAAGAAAGACATTATTGGGAAGGGGCGTGTCAGCAGGTTCCGAATCAACATTTTCAACACTACTCATATCATTAAGTTCACGTTCGCATTGCTCAGTGAGCCGCTGTATATCATTTAGAAAATCATCATTGAATAAACCATTGTTCTCACAGAATATACTTTGAAAATCATTTTTCCATTTATTCAGCACTACATCTATATCACCGCTTATATTATCACCATCAACGTACACTTCCATAGGGATGTTACTACGAGCGCGTGAAGGTCCGAGATTGTTTATTTCATTCCACATTTGCTTAGGATTATTCGTCTCCATTTTAACAATATTGTCTCTTAATTTTGCTTCATAAGAACGTTTAGATCGCCTATACATTTTATCAAATTCACGTTGCTTTAATTTAAAGTCTTGCCTTAAAATATTTCTCTCTCTAGCCCTCGATTTTGATTTCAAAAATAATTTTTCCATTTGACAGGTTTCTTTCCATAATTTGTTCAATTCCACGCTCCACCATGGTTTTGCGCACTTATTTGTCTTTGTATTGTTTGTACTTATGTCTTTAAATGTTAGTTTGTCATCCATTTCAGTGTGCAAAATATTTACAAATTGGTCATAGCTATCATCAATAGTACGTTGTGCGTCATGATTGAGCTCAAGACGTTCGATCGCAGACAAAATCGCCGTGGTACACCGTACATTTGAAAATATATCATTAGGAATATTCGTTACATCGTATTTTCTACGTTTTGTGTCTGTATATATTGAATATCCCTCGGGATATTCCTTGTATCCAAAACCTCCCAGTGCATAACCCCTATGTATGCCATGGTTTATGGATTTTTGCTACTTCAGACTCAAAACGAGGCTAAGTGTCAATATCGCCGTATCGTTTGGAAAAATCGTTTTAAATCATTTAATTCCCGACGATTCTGATGATGACTTTAACTATGGAATATAAAGAACATCCTATGATTTACTCGTGATATGATTTTAATCCACTCTCTCGCTACGCTCACTCGTGCAGATATCATATCCATTCGTGGATAAAAATCATATCACTCATAAATCATAGGATATCCTCTATTTAAGATGTGATATTCGATAGTTTAAAAGTGATATTCGATGGTTTGTAAATTGTTTGCTAAAATATGATATCTTGATCCACATATCAAATATATCATCATGTGATATTCGATCTATATTCTCCTTGCAACCATGGGATGAAGCTTTACGTCCCGCTCCAAGCGGGCAGATATAGTATATCTGCCCGCTACGTCATAATCGCCGCTTGCATATTTGTTCATAATTTGTAACGTTCGCGGAATGACTGTAAACGGCAATGGAGAAAACACAGACAATCAGGGTCTGTTTGATAGTTAAAAAAGGGAAAGAGCATCCACTTAATCAATAAAAAATTCGAGAAAATAAATATGGGAATATTTGAGAGAACATGAAAATCCGCCCACGGCCAAGGAAACAAAACTGGACATGAATATTCTAAAATGTTTCCACGATTTACAAGTGAACCAGATGACCAATATTGGTATGGGATAAACATATTATCCTATAGTCGGTTCAGGATATTGGGATTATCCCTTGGCCAATATATAGGGGTTATGCAATTGGAGTTTTTGGATACAGGGAATATCCCGAGGGGTTTACAATATATCTTCCCGAGGGACCAAGGGAAGATATATTATATATCCCTCGGGATATTCCCTGTATCCAAAACCTCCAAGTGCATAACTGTTGTATATAGTTAAGCATGATATGTACTTCTTTCTGTAACTGGAATACGATTCTAATATACAAGCAGCACATACGTATTCCCGGGGAACCATAAATATTTTGTGTAGGGTGTGGACATTTTTCTTTTCATTTCTCTAAAATCAGATTATTCTCATAAAATTCATACAAAGATGGGCCTAAGCCTTTATTTTCGTATTCTGCATGTTAAGATATTTATAATGTAAAACCTAAGAGATAAATGCAATGTCTTCAGTTGAGAATAAGTATAAGGTAAATGTGTGAATTCTGCTTGTTGTTGCACTATTTTTATAATAAACAAGGTTCGATACGCAACACTGAATAGACTGCAGTCATAGCTTAGTTGTAAAGAAAACAAAAGAAGTTGGGACGTGGTCATGCTTGAATACGATTTTGAATATATCGCCGTTTACATTTGTTGAAATCGGCCTGTATTAATTTCAACAGGTGATCGGTGTACAAGGGCATATATTTGAGTTATTGGTTTAACGATAAGTATGACCTATGAGTGGGTAATGTTTTACAAATGCATGAAACAAATACTCCAATGGCCTAATCTCAATTTTCCTGCATAAACTATTACATTGAAATGATGGTCATTTGCTCTCTAACTTCCGCACCGCATACGTAACTTCGTAACAATTCAATAAGCCAAGACAGGACCGCTATAATCGCTACATGCCAGTGAATGTTAGTAACCCCCCCCCCTTCCCATTTCCATAGAGAAAATGAGCAATGGTTAAAACTGAAAACAAATTCAATATCCATGAACAAATGCAGGTTCTTCAAGCTTTTGATTGCGAGGGAGAAATAGTCAAATAATCCTCTAGTGAAAGATTGTTTTCAAGTTGAGTTTGTAAGTGTTATAAAATAAAAATTTTGGAGAGGTTCCAATTTTTCCCTTGCAGTAAAAACCTTAAAGACGTTTCAATATATGCAAACCTCACTGTTCAAAACAAAAAATATATATATTACTGTTTTATCACACCTGGATGAAATAGATTGTTTGCAGTTGCAATTGTTCCATAAACTGTAAAAGTGGTCATAGAGTATTTACAGTTAAGGTTCATTGGTTACAGATTGAAGGATTAAGATGGCTATGTATCTCCTATTTTGTCTTTGATAAGTTTGGAGACTAGCTTCCACTTTTCGGGATCATATCGGCCATTGTCCCATCGAGATATTATGATCATTGTGTCAGAAAGATCCAGTTCGACGATTGTATTCCTAATAGTGCGTCCCATGCCAGAGTCTCCATCATCCTGAAAGTCATAGTATTTCCTGGCTCCATTTTGGATAACAAATGCGAAGCTGTTATTTGTAGCTTTGGCAACATAAGGATCGGAGCATGTTTTAAGGAGTGCAGGTTTCACGTCAGTAAGCTTTTTCACTTTCGCCAGATGCACTTGATACGATCCTCCAGTGCCTGATATCACCGGGCCATTTTTAAGATTGATATCGAGTGCGTCCTGAACTGTATCTGAGTTAGATATGGGAGTTTTCAGGGGATACACCAGTTTCCCATTCACCGTCATTTTTTCTTTTGAGATGTTACATTTAGCCTCGGGGTTTTCTTGTAGAATCTGCTTCTTTGTTTCGTACATAAATCGCTGTTTTTCAATTTGTGGCTTAGGATGTTGTTCTGTTATGAACTTTCCTGTGCCTTTTAGGCGCCATGCATTAGCTAATACGATTTCCTTACCCTTGTAAGGGTTAAACTTAGCCACAATACTTCTCGGATAGAGGTCGTGTTTCTGCGGTCCGATCCTGTGTACTCTATCAATGGCTATCTCATCTTCAATTTTTAGATCGTTTTTTAAGAATTCATTAAGTATTCTTCTTGTATCAGCTGCTGTTTCATTCTTAATTTCAGGAATTTTAAAGAATAACAAATTGTCCCGCATAGATCGGTCTTTCAGGTTCATAACTTCTTCTTTAGTATCTGCTAACTCTTTTTCTGATCTTTCGGCTCTTCTTTCTGCGAACATAAGTCTCTCCCTTAAATCCTTGTTATCTAATTTAAGTGATGTAATATCAGCCTCCTGGGATTGCATAGTTTCTCTTAGAATATTCAGTTCTTTTGTGTGACTTGACTTCATGTTTTGTATCTCAGTTTTCATTTTTGAGAGTTCAATAAATAGATTAGAATTTGAGGCATCAGCCAGTTTTTCGGAACTTGGGAAGGTTTCTGTAGTTTCAGGTTCTAGCGTCTCTTGGTTTGACATTGTGGGTAAATTTTTAGTCTGTTTCTTGGTCTTTTTTGTTTCAGGTAATTTGAGAGGTTCCTCAGTTGATAATGTTTTTGATCTCAGTCTCTTTTTGTCAGATTTGCTTTTGTTTGAACCTGATGGCATTATAAGTGTATTTCATCTAGGTCCAGTGATAAGTTTTCTCAATGTTTACAAATCAATGTACTACCTGTATCAATATGTAGTAGTATTAGTCATTTTGACCTGCTGAGAGTTTTATGGTATTAGTACATATTAGCTACACGTGCATATAAATATTTTTACAGTGTGAACTCTTTGTCAGAAAATGTTCAAACTATTTCTCCAAATATCTCAGTGATGAGGTAACCTTTTTGGTCAGCGATTAATCCATCCCATTCCTGGTCACTTTACACTTATTTAAGCATATATTTAAATTCCTAAATATCCATCTGTAGCAGATAGAGCGAGATTATTTGAGAGCTACATTTTTGTATTCCATGTGGTAACTGTCTAACACCTTATGTTGAAATGGTTGATGACGTAGTTTATCCCTCCTCTAAGCAATGTCACATAATGTCACATATTTTTGTTTTCTGTTGGACACTGAAACATGATAACATTAACCCCTGACCTACCAGTTTCTCTTGGTCTAAATTTTCAAAGAAAAAAAAAATTCAAAATATGGGCCCACTTTTCGGTTTTGGGGGCCCAAAATTTCTGAAGTTTTTTTCTAATACCTGAAATTTGCCCCCCCCCCTTGTTGGTTCCCAGATCCGTCCTTGACCTACCAGTTTCTCTTGGTCTAAATAGACCCTGAAGCACCACTCTATCGGGAAACTGGATGCGAATCACAGCACGATTATATTGTGACATCTTCTGCTCATTTTGTGCCTGCCGCATGGCTGCTGTCATCAAGGGAGCATCATCTTGAGAATGACTGAAATAAAAATTGAATGTCTGAATGCCATTACTGAACATCCAATATTTAGTGTCTTTTGTATACTACTGAATGCCTTTAAGTAACAGATATCATTAAATTTCTCTTAGGTGTCATGTGCGATCGTACCCTCCTGACTATGCCCATGGATGTCCAAATGACCCAAGCCCTTAACTCATTGCTGACCAACCCCGAGATATCTCGTCTATGACGTCATAGTCGTATCTGAGCAACCCCGATATATCTCGGGGTGCTGTACAATAATTGTCACACAATTTGTACCAATAATCTTCCGAAATATTGTAGGGGTCACAAGGGGAATACCGTTGGGTGCAATTGAAATTGGCGCTACATCAATCTTTTGACATGCTCCCTAAGTAGAGGTGTTCAGATTAAAGAGGTATTTCTATTTGGATATCCAGATTTAACTGTACATGTAAAGAACAAAGAGGCTTGTACTTACGCTTCCTTAGATAAATCCATCATCATCTTCCTGAGGTCAGACTCTGTGACTTGAAAGAAATCATCGGATAAATCTTCATCTAAAATCAAGCAATGCAATTGAAACTGTTATTACAATCTTCATTTATATCAGTGGCACATGTACAGTTAGATATTATCCATGATCATTCTTGAGAATTCAAGTGCATTAGTGCAAGTGTGCCTACATATAGAACTAGGTCACTGGGTAGTTCAAGCAAGTGTGCCTACCTGTAACATTAGATTACTGAGCAGCACAAGTACATGTGTACCTACTTATGGCTCTAGAATAGATTACAGGGCAGTACAAGACTACAAGTGCATGTGTACCTACCTATAGCTCTGGATTACAGGACAGTACAAGACTACAAGTGCATGTGTACCTACCTATATTAACTGATTACTGGGCAGCTCAAGGGCATGTATACCTACCTATAGTTCTGGATTACAGGGCAGTACAAGACTACAATTGCAAGTGCATGTGTACCTACCTATATGAACTGATTACTGGGCAGCACAAGTGCATGTGTACCTACCTGTAATGTTAGATTGCTGTGCTGTTTTGTGCTCAATATTGTATACCATAATTTCTCTGTCACATGGCTTGAACTCCTTCCTGCTAACATCACTGGAAACATTGGAACAAAATAGATTGCGTTATAATATGCTCTTTCCTGGAATTTAAATCATTTTAGATGTTAAGTGATGGATGGATAGCAGGGATCTCTCCAGTATTGAATAAGCTGGATCCAACCAAATTATCCAACCAAATTATAGATGCACTCATTTGTATTGTATCTTCAAATAACATGGGCATGTATGAAAAAATGTTGTATGTATCTCCGATACTAGACTACATGAACATGTACAAGACTCACTTAAGTCTGATTTATCTTAAATAACAGAATAGTGTTTTAACCCCCAAAATACGGTCCCTTTTTCAAAATTTAGTAAATAAAAATACTAAAGGTCTATAGAGCACTAGTTTGCTCTTGCATTTGTAATAATTTCAAGTTGAATGGATAAGCAGTTCAGGCACGTAGTCAGGGGGGGGGGGGGTTCGATGGGTTCGAGCGAACCCCCCTATGGCCAAAAAATCTTTCAAAATCATGCAGTTTTTCACCATTCCGAGCACTTTTTAAGTGATTTTGGCCATTTTTGGACAAAAATTGAACCCCCCCTGGAATTTTTCAAAAAGTGAACCCCCCTTGGGAAATCCTGGCTACGGGCCCGCAGATACAAGATTTATGTGGCACCTGCCGCCAGCAAATGCATTGCACACCCATCAGCACAAGAGAATGGGAATATAGCGACTTTTCAAAGTGTGATAAAAATGTTTGACCCTATCCGTATATTGTAACGCTGTTGCTATAATATGTTTCTTACCTTAATTCATTTTTGTATAAAGACTTTCCTTTTGTAGATTCAGGAAACTATAAATAAAGAAGCCGAATAAATTCTGTGTCACAGTACCTTACAGAGGAATGGAGCGAACAAGTATTGTGCTTATTATCGCTCTGTCACCATCAAAATCTGAAAATGGGTCCTTCTACTGGTACATGTATTTTCAATTTATTTCTAACAATCCTCAATGACCTATGTAAGAAGATATCTTACATTAAAAGTAGTGTACTGATTTTATTTTCTCCTGTTTAAGTTTGAATTCGTGGCTTATGAGACCAGTGAAATAAACCTTACCTTAAATTCTGACACAACAGGTTGTTGAATTTGCCTGGGTCTTGCCCCACTCTGATTTTGTGATAGCTGAGCCTGGAACATTCCACTCAGTTGTTGCACTGCCTATAATATACAACATAGTACAGTAAAACTTGAATATCAAATACCATTCTTGCATTTTGTAATTCAGAAGTATTTGATAGAACAAGGCATTAACATGCAAAATTTCACCACCTGCCATGTTGAACAATGAAAACCAACCACCGCACCATCCACAAAAAAGTTGGAGACAATAATGATATGTCAGATCATCACTTCTGGTGATGACATAATAAAACCTTTTCACTGATATAAGTCACAGGTGACAAGGGTTCCATAGCATCAGGTGGAAAAAATTACACAAAATGATTTGCCCCCAGCCCCCTTCAAATGGAAGGCCTGATGTACCTGGCGTTGATTAGGTGTGAGCTCCTGAGTTACATCTACCTCCCCTGGTGGGAATATTTGTACACCCGTAATTCTTCCAGGGCCACTCGAAGACTCATTTCCAGTTGTTTCTTGTTTACTAGTTGCTTCACTAGATTGAGAATCCATATCTCCATTGTTCTCTTCTGGATTGGTAACATCACATTTTTGGGTTTGGGCACTATGCGGTTGATCTGTGGTATCCATTGCTTCAACATTTACATGTGGTGTTTCATGTTTAGCATGTGGTTGCTCATTTCCAGTGTCCATTGGTTCAGTCTCATTTTGGGATTTTACAGATTCGCATTCACTGGGAGATACAATCAGAGTTTTTGTAACTGCTTGAACTGTGTCTCTGGATACTGTATTCGAGTTCATTTTTTGTTGTCGAGCATTTTCTTTGTCTATTTTGGCATTTATTTCAGCAATAGTTGCATCATCAACCTCTCTATGTATTAACCTGGAATAAAGTGAAGTGAAAATATATGTGCGGTGGTAAAGCATCCGACATGTAATTGGGAGGTTGTGGGTTTGATTCCCACCAAAGTGGAGTGACTTTTTCAAAACAGCCCTTAGCATAGGATTTGATCCATAATCTGATATACCGTAAACATATTACAGTTTTGTACAAGGGATAAGACATTGAATAGCCAATCCATTTATTTACTTAATTACCTTAAAATTGCACGTCCTCCTATAAGCCCAAGGCCCCTTAGAGTGGTGTTCTCCAAGGCATATACCCCTATGATCTCCTCCCTCATGTAAATACATACAGGATGTCGAGAACCACTTTCGCTAACTACAGACACACCATCAGATGTCAGCACTTCCATCAGCGTACAACTTGGGTTAAATTCATTCTGAAGTCGTTCACCTGTCTCCAATTGGACAGCTAGTGTCACCTTTGTCTCTGTGCGAGATTTTGTCGCTTTAACCAACTCAAGTTTAGCGAGATTGGGTAGCCCTGAATAGCGGAATGTCATTGTGGTGTCCAACACTTTCTTTCCATGCCTACAATTGTAAAAATTAACATGGACATGTGCATATGAAGACCTCAGTTAACAAAAATAAACAAGGAATTAACATGCAAAATTTCACTACCTGCCATTTGTTATATAGACTGAATGCTGACCACTGAACACCAACCAATGTCCACTATATAATAGTATATTCAGTGTATATGAATCACTTAATGAAGAAATTCTTCCTTTTTTGTATAATTACTCAGATGCGAGTAGGTAGTTACCAGTTTCGCCACCAGGTGGCTGATTCGGGGGAATTAACATGGCAGGGTATTACAAAATTCCCTTAAACTTGAATATGCATCAGGTTTGATGGTTAACTTTTCATATTACCTTTATGTATCTGATAGTTATACAATTTAAAATAGGTCCAGTAAAAGAAAACATTATCTGCCCAACACAAGAAAAGATATTTCACTTTTTGTGGTTTTACAACATGGGCTCTATGGGGAATCTCCCCGACCTAGAAGTCACATTTTCAAAGAAAATTAGATTTTGAAAGTTGATAAACTCTTTTCAAAACCACATTTCTAGACGTAATTTTACATGTAGATTCCAAATATGACATCAGTTTGACTGAATTGTGAATTTCTAATGACGTAAATCAAGATTATTTCTACTCGCAACTGGGATATTGCATTTCATGTATGTAAATATGTATTTTGGCAATAAATTTAAAACAAAAAACAAAATAAAATGTCAAATTGCCAACCACCAAACACCATCTACAAAAAAAGATGGAGACCGTCACACTTCTATAGTGAGTGCAAAAAAAACCTCACGCCTCATGTTGGGAGGGTGACAATCTAACTAGGAACTACTGTAGTCACCATATATCATGTCACACCATGTATGTGATATGAAGTATGTGATAAATAAAGGGGGGGGGGGGGTAGTAGATAGGTTAAGAAAGTGATAAGATCATATGAAGTTCAGAATTTATTTGGGTTATTGTGGTTTACTCACTTACTTGAGTTCATAATCTTCAGCTGGAAGAAACTTCTGCTTTTGGCACACATCCTCCAATATCTAAATTTAATGCAAAAATATACAGTTATGCTTGGTATAAAAAGGTAAATAAATTGGAACATAACATAAAAATTGAAAGCGCTGCCTTATATGTTGTCTCGGTTACTTAACATTGTTGAAGTATTTTGGCTGTTGTGATTTGAGTTGGTCAAATAAGGGCAAGATGGTCATATATCAATCATGGATTAGTACATGGAAACCATAGTGAACACCATCCATTGATCTCTATTGATAGTTACCTGTCAGTCTCCTACAGTGCGGGTGCTGATACAAATTAATTGACAAGTCGTATAGTTGGCATATTTCTTGAATCTTAACATTTAATGTTCCAAACTCCCACAAACTGCAGAAAGGTATACACTGTAAATCGTATTTTTTTACCAAAATGAGTGTCTCCAAGGCTTCATACCAGCGTATGCAATGTATTTGTCACGAGTTTGAGCTGAAATTTCACAAAAATGAAGTAAGGGTAATCTCCGCCAGGTTTGTTTATTGTGGTTAGCTTTTAATGGTAAGTGCTCAGAAGCAAATAATTCATGTGTGCAAATTAATCAAATAATCTGATTGGTTTAAACTTTATCGCGTATTTGACAATGTGTACCATGTTATTTTCTAGTGAATTTGTTTCGTTTCAGGGAGTTTGTGTTTCAGTGTAACTTCCGCAAAAATGGCGGACCAATGACAGAATTTACAGGTAAAATCACTTCGAAATTTAAAGATGCAGTATACCATAAGTTTCTCGCCAAGACAATCAAAGATGTCCCAAACGCCATATTGAAATTTGGCAGAAAAAACATTCACTCGACTAACAATTACAAGTCTTGGTCGAAAAGGAAGTACTTCAGCGCTCCAATACACGCACGGAAGGATGGTGATGATGTATGACATAGTTAGAGAACAAAAGTAAGCCACTGATCGACGCTGATAAACTTAATTCGTGTTTCAAAGGTCACTATTATTCAGCTGTCCATTTCCCCGTTTGAGAGTGAGTGAGTAAGATTGGACCATCACTGGTACAATCATCCAATGGAATTGGATACAATGAATTCAAATTCAAAAGCAAAATAAACACATATTTAACAATTCATTGTCGTAAATTTTGCAAAATGACAGAGTAAAAATACTTATTTCAAAACATTGAATGATTAGCCATTGTATGATGATTTTGACATTAATATTGATCCAGAAGTAAGCTTCATATATTCATGATAAATAAATAGGTGTAGTTTTACCTGTAATATCTTTGTATTGGGTGTAACTTTAACATTTTGCCGTCGGCCGTTCAAACACAAAACTTGCACGGAGGCTGCCATTTTGCGACTACTTTACCATACCAAAACAAAAATTTGGGGGAGTTTTTAAAGTGCAGTTTTCTCTTCTGTAAAACATATTTTAAACAATAAATTGTAAAAATAGCATTGGAAAACAGATGTTCCATTTTGATCAGTGGTTGTTTTGTATTGCCATTCAGGTTCAAACAAGAAAATACAGATTTTCCACTTACTTCCAAAACATCCGGGCATTTCACTTCCTTTCGGCCATATTGGAAAATTAACAAGGAGGTAAAAATATTTTTGCTATGAAAATCGGCCCTAATCTGTCTCTTAGAGGTATCATACCCCTCATTTTTGTAGTAGATAATAAAGTAATGAATATGTGGATAAATTGTAAACTATATAGCTGTCTTATTGTTTGATTTCTTATCAAGATGTTCTCCCCAACAATTATTTCTGATGATTTCCCTTCAAAAATGCTCTACAATTTCCAATACCACTTCATCAAAAGATTTTCGAATTATGAAATGACGTATTCTTAATGTCTTGCCCCCGGGGGGTTCACTCCAAATAATTTGGGTAGGTATTTGTGCGGCACGGACAATTTTGTCTTTGAGCATAAAACATGGAAATTGGCCCTGAGAGAAAAAAATTGGCCAATCTGATGGGTGTTACCACAATATAGTCCATTTGTCACCCCTATACATACTATAGTGAACCTATGAATTGTTAAAAACACGATGTTTTATGGTTAATTTATAATAACAAGGGTTTTCTGAAGTGATTTAACTGGGTTGGACAAAAAGTTAGTTTGGGGAAAAAAGTATATCGGCTGATTAGGGAGGGGTGCATTGGCTTAACATGGCGTTGATTATTGACTTAGCTTCGGGATACCACCATGTACCTGGTATGTTACCATGGTGATAGATACAAAAAATTTCCCCAATGTTAATTTTTTGGCAACCCAGCTAAATCACTCCAATAAACCCTAATAATAGTATTTGCACAGAAAAACATCATGTTTTTAAATATTCATACGTTAAGAAAATGACAAATGGACTAATATATTGCATTTAATACTTCTTTTTTGTTATTGTACAAGACGATTGACTGATCAGATCTTGAATTTTAGGATATATGACACGGATAGTGGGAAGTCCTCCATCTAGGAGGTATTATCCCGTACCAGGACTATAGTCCTGTACTGAGTGCATACATTTGCCTGTACGATTACGACTTGAGAGAATTATCTATGCCCCTTCCACTTAAGAAACCTACCTCAATGCATTCTAGAACTCAAAATGTAACTTCTAATATATTGGAACCGCCGATTGTCTGGGTTAGTTGGCAGAACGAGGTCTTTTGGTTTCTTATGGCTCTTTTGGTCGAAGTTCGATTAAGATGGCGGTTATAACGGAATTTTCCGAACTTTTCCGTAATAGCACGAACTTGGTATTTCGTTACGTCACTTCCGTGTAAAATGGATTTCTTTCCTGTAGAGGGAATTTCGAAAATTTCGGACAATATTTTCAATATTTACTGCCATGTCGACATCCTATGCTCTTAACTGTATACCGAATGGTTAAACAATGTTTCTTACCGGAAACAAATCTATGAAATAAATATGAAAGCTCAAATTTCGCCACTATTTACTGTCTGCCCAATACCTTGTTGTCTTGAGTTTTACTTGCCTCACTTACAGGGAATATTTGCCTCACTAACAGAGAAAATTTACCTAACTTACAGAAAAAATTTACCTCACTTACAGAGAAATTTTGCCTCACTTACAGAGAATTTTTTGCCTCAGTGCACCCCCTTGGGAAATCCTAGCTATGGCACTGGAATGAGTGTATGTTAGTGAGGTAGGCCTACACAGAATTTGAGGCAAGTGTTCCCCGTATGTAACATAATTTGACTATCATTAATATGTATTGTGATAATAAAGACCTCAATGTAAGACCATCTTGAGAATTATTAATGTGAGTGGGGATATAAAAGGGATTTGAGAGACTACCAGGGGGGATGCGATCGTGTCAAAAGCAACTTAAAAAAATGTTTAAAGATTTGTTTTGAATTTTAAAAAAAATAATGCAACTTCAAAATTGAGCTAGAAGCTTCAAGTAAAAAGCATTTGAAAGTTCTTCAGTCTAACGCGTTTCTTTTAAATTGTTTTATGGTGGGGTGGGTGTGATCGCACCCCTGACTACGCCTATGACTACCTTGTGTATTATGTGTGTATGTTAGTCGAAGAGCAATGGCATGGGACACGACTACATTGTGCAAAATCGTGTGGGATAGGCGGCAAATGAGCTCGATGTAAGGTTACCTAGTAAAGAGATTGGGTAGGGAGTTTCAAAGGAATATGGTCATCTGGGGCATTGATAGGGCCTATGCCGGGGGCCTATGGACCGGGGACATGAAATATGGGGTTGATTTTCACATAAAATACATATCAGGGTACACACGATCTAGTCTAATAAGATTAAGGGATATTTAATTACTACTACTTTAGTAAACCATGGTACTACAGGGTGTCCGGAAAGTAAAGATACAAATACTCTAATTTTAAGAGATTTAGTATTTTTGTAATGAAATCGCTACAGATTGTAGAGGAACTACATTACAATACATTTACTAACTTTTATAACATATAGTCTAAATGTGTTAAAGTTACGGCTGTCATGGTTACGGTGGTGAGGGGTATGCGGAGCAGTTCCATGATATCGCTAAATTGTGATAAATTGCTAAAATATAACCATTTGAAATAGCGTTTATTATTGTATTTCTTATCAGTTTTTTGTTTTGTTCAATATTGTATTCTTGCTGCCATAGTATTCTCTTTAGTATAACGGTATCATTGATACATATCAGAACTATGTAATGTCAAAAATATGATCAAAGAAAAAGAGTATATAAGTTTTTAGAAAAGGGGTCCCTGGATTAATAGAAAAGTCAATGGTGCACCTCCACAGACAATGTTCCAATGCACAAACCAAAGAAAACAAATCTTACAATTGAATGTCTTGACATTAACCTTTTTGTACAATGGCCCATATTTCCCTGATAATGTCCCGTTGGACTTCTACATTAATGAATATGTTAAAGCAATATTTGTGAGGAGTTCCACATAAAAATGAGACTCCGCTAGAAACCAATGTTATCAGCAATCTTAGAGACTGACAGCAAACGTTTTGTCAGGTCTTTGAATCTCCGGTCAAAATGCACCAGGAATGTTTAGATAAAGGTTAAAAATACGTAATACTGGATAACAGTAGTAATGTCAAATGATCAAATAATGTTACAGTGCTAATCCTTTTGCTGTTGTGGTACATAATTTGATGCATAATAACAACAGGCAACGGAGTGTCAAGATGATATGAACAGGAGAAAAGAATTAGAAAACATAATTGTGACACTGCTCCACATACCCGCAACTCCTGTTACCATAACAACCATAACTTTTTTATTTTGAGACAATTTGTCATGACAGTTGCAGGATAAATTGTTACAATGTCATTCTACAATCTGTAACAATTTCATCTCACAACAGGTAAATCTAGTGAAATTAGAGCATTTGTATCTTTACTTTCCGGACACCCTGTATATCGTAAACAATACCTTTTATCTGCTGCTGATTTGAAGCAGTCATTTTTGCTGACGATCTGGATTTCTTGTTTGATGACACACCCCATATTAGATCTAGACTGCTCCTGTTTTTTCTCCAGAATTTTAATCGGGGACGATGAAAATGATATTTAAGCGTATATACCTCTGACTTTATTCCTTTTGATGAAAGAAATCCAATTTGAATTTATGTTTGCACCACTTCAGGTTCAAATAAAGGACTTAATATAAACAGACATGGGGCGTCGTTCTCATGTAGTTGCATAAATAATACGAACAAACCAAGTCTGAAGTGATAGATTTAAACAAGGGCAACTGGAGAATAAATTCATATCAAGATATAGATATGTGGTTTTTCGTATATTTATCGGCAAAATGAAAATGTTCACTGCTTTTATCTCCTTTGTATTCATTTTAAATAGATTCCGAAATAGCGAACATCAAATTGAAAAATTATGCGTTCGTAAATTTGTCGTATTATCGCTCTCCGATAAAGAGGTACAAAAAATATTTTCAAAAAAACATTTTGCCCCGTTTTTTCAAAGCTAATACTTGATTATATTGATGGGCTTCGTTGGTTTTGGCGAAATCTGTTTATTGGTGAGATGTTACATGTTCGTTCATGTATAGTTCAGTGTGTTTTAGTTTAACGGTAGGTGGATTCTGAAAATCTCCTACTTTTCACCCAACTCACTCCTTTCGCTGGGCCAAAAACAACCGGAGAAACGTTGAAAATAACTGGAGATTTTCGCCGGTCGCCGGCTTGTAATGAAACGCTTGGGTTTACTGTCAGAATGAGAACATTCTCTTGTAATTGAGAAAGATGGTGCCTCTTTTCAAGATGGCAGTAGGGTTTAGAAGGGGAATCTCCGTAATAATATTGGATGTACCAATAGATGGAGGCGCTCGGTAGTTGATAATCAGCAGTCAAGGTCTGTAACAAGGCCATTTTTCATAATGCATTGTTTTTCAGGTGATGATCATATCCAATCCTCTATAGAATACTTGTGTCTAAAATGATACATTCATTGCTTTCAGATTGCATTCCTTGAGGCCATACAAAATTCAAGATGCCTAGGCAGATAATGGAGATCAAAGACTTCCTGCTGAAAGCAAGGAGGAAGGATGCTAAATGTGAGTGTTTTCATTAGATCAGACAATGTTAATTGTGGTAAAGTAAAATAATCTATCATCTTGATGAGTTTGGATCAAAGAATAGCTGTCAGTTTACAAATCATGATTCTGTTTCCACAAATTTGGTTAGAAAATTAAAATGATTGATCCTTTTAATAATAAAGCCATAAAGTTGAACAATATTGTTTTATTCTATTTCAGCTGTAAAGATAAAGAAGAACCGTGAAAATGTCAAGTTCAAGGTCAGATGCAGCAGATTCCTTTACACACTTGTCATCCAGGACAGAGAAAAGGCAGAAAAACTAAAACAATCTCTTCCTCCAGGTAAGCGTTTGAATATAGCATTTTGAATGCATTCATGGTCTGTTGCAGGGCTTCTTGAAAAAAATGTGTTAAGGTCTTGGGGTAGTTATCAGAAATTTACACCAAACAGGAAATGAAAAAACCATGTGAATTTTAGAATTTTTTAAAGTAAGATAACAATGTTCTGCTTTGATCTTCATTCACTTGTAAAAATCCCATATATCATTTACATGGCCAGGATCACAACCTTACCATACCTTTTTATGACCACATTTTTTCTTTTAGCCAAGTTTTCTTATTTTCAAAGCTCATTTCATTTAAAGCAATATATTGGGCATATTTTCTGAAAAATTCAAAATATTTTGTTCACTGACCTTTCAGAAATGCCAACTTTTAACTTTTTTCAGTCACAATTTCAGAGGGCTGAAAAAGCTATTTCAGCATGGTAAGGGTAATTTTGACCATGACCATTGTGATCCTGGTCATGTAAATAATATATGGGAATAGTCAAATTGATTGAAGATGAAAGCAGAACTCTGTTATCTTAGTTAAAAAAATTCTAAAATCCACATTTTTTTTAATTTCCTGTTTTTTTTCATTTCCTGTTTGGTGTAAATTTCTGATAACTACCCTGAGACCTTAACTGACATGTGCTGTTGGTTTGGAGCAGGTTTTTGAAAAAAAGTGTGTTAAATGTGGTCTTGGATTTAATTGTGTAGGTTTTTGAAAGAATTGAGTCGAGTGTGGTCTTGGTTTGGAGCAGGTTTTTGAATGAAGTGTGTTGAATGTGGTCTAGGATTGATGGAGGTTTTTGAAAGAACTGTTGAGTGTGTACTTGGTTTGGTGAAGTGTGATAAGTGTGCTCTTTGTTTGGTACATCATGTTTTTGAAAGCAGTTATGCTCTTACTTAGTTTGTTAAGTGTGCTCTTGGTTTGGTGCAGGTTTTTGAAAAAAGTGTGTTGAATGTGGTCTTGGATTGGTGTAGGTTTTTGAAAGAACTGTTTTGAGTCAGTGCTCTTGGTTGTTGAAAATATGTTGACATTGCTCATTTGGTTTGTGGATTGTGCTTTTTTATTACTAAATAATTGAATTAGATGTTTGATGATTTAACTGTCATGGTAAATGATATTTCTAAATTGACAAATCAGACAGCAGTCCTTAGCATAGGAGTTGATGTGTTTGAAAGTAACACGAAAAAAACATTTGAAAATACAGCATTTAGTTACTTGTAGAGAAGTTCATAGTGGCTATTCTCAACATCTGTACATAAACATGTACTTTTATATTCTTTGTGTATATTTGCAGGTCTACAGGTGAAAGAACTCAAATAAACACAGAATCTACAGAGCAGTAACAAGAGACAATTGCTATTTGTGCTGTACCAATTATGTACAAATAAAGTGTATATTTATGTGTAGACCAACTAAACACATCTTTCCCTTGTTAATATTTTGGAGTTTTGAAGAGAATCATATCAATGTCTTTTATACATTTGGATTAAGTGTATAAAATATACAAGGTTTTTATAGGAATAAAATACCATCACGATAAAACATGCCATGGAACTGCCTTCCTTCATAAGTTGGAACCAACATTGTACTACTTTTCATGATCCAACCCCTGATCTGAAACTGATAATTCAAACAGCCAATGCAGTGGAAAATAAAAAAATTGGAATTTTGATTTCACAGATCAGATTCAGGTATTTATTACTATTTTGAAAATTATATATGACATTCAATACAACATGACGCTCTCAAGAGCATATATGTTGGTTTTAACTGGACAGAAATGGGTCAGTGACACCAACAGGTAAGACAAATAAAAATGGAGTGGAGAAATACCTGAGAATGACACTGGCCCAAGTCTGTTGGAAATCATTTCAAAAATGTAAAAAATATTAACTCTCGGGGACAGAGACACAGGACACGAGAACGGGTAATTGCTGCAATTGTGTTTTTCCAAGGTAGTTGATGCTTAGTGCAGTTGAGTCAAGTTCACTATTTTGAGATTTTAATTGATATTTGAAAGCAGGTTATCCCCCAATATTGAATATTGCTATATTACCCATTTTAAAAAATGGCAACCATTTTTATGTGTAATTTATGACAGAAATCTGAAGACAAGAAGGTGTGATGTTCTTTCAGAATTGCTTTTAATGACTATTTACAAAAATGTTCCAGAGACACTCGTCCAAAAAAATAAGTCCATATACTAGTAGTTATGGGTTTGTGTTGAATTAAGAAAACCCCTATGAAACCTACAAACTAAGAGAAAAACTGCAGGTTTCAAATTGCAATGTATACAATCTGTATACAATCTGCCCATCTGATCCTGTTTAAAAAACTGCCGAACATGACATGTACCGAGTTCTAGAACATGTTCAAACTGGAATATAGAACTTTCTCAATATTGCAATTGCTTCCATGTCCTGTATACAGGTATATACCTTGATATGCTTCATAAAATGTCATAAGGCAATATCTCCAAATAAAACCTTAACCAAGTAGACCGGGGAACACTTGTAAATAATTTTCACAATGAACTGATGAATTTTGTTTGTGCATTTCAAATTTCATCTTCCCGATTTCATGATTTTGTCTATAGCACGCAAATTTTGGGTAGACATTGTCATTCCCAGATGCCCAAGCGTCTCTGGAACACATAGGTATAATGACCTTGATTGGATATCATGGTGCAGAGAAATCATAACTTTACTACGAACAAGCATTATTAAATAAGGTCATATTTGATTTTTTTCCTATGAAAATACTTTTTCTTCTAAACTTAATAGTATTTGTAATGAGTCTACATTACTCTAAAAAAGCACTCAATCAAATCTCTTTTCCCAAAATTTCTTAAGAGGGAGGACCCACCCAAATCACCACTCGCTTGGCCCGCATCTTTCGCCATTAAATTTTCTGGAAATTTGAAAGTTGTTGCTTTAAGCCATGAAAATCACTTCGAACAATATTATGTTAATATCTGGCGTGATAACCAACAACAACCAACAGACCAAGCTTGTTATTTCACATCAACATAAAAAAATGTAAGATGAAATTCTACATGTTCTAACATTGTTTAAAACATCACAAAGACATGATAAACAAAGACTGATTACCATGCCATCTTTATTTAAAAATGATTTCTATCGCCCTTAGCCATGGTTGAAACAATACCAGAGGGGAGAAACACTGGGGTTCAAAGATGACATACGCTTATAATGTAAATCTGTATTGAGATGACATCATCGCTGATTGGTCAAAAGTCGACAAACAAATCATGTCATCAATGGCGGTTTCGAAATACGCTTTGAATAATATTATGTTCATTTCTGGCGTGTTAACCAATATCATAGCTTCTCGTTTCACAGCAAGCTAAAGAAAGGTGTACGGAATATGCCTATATCAATTAAACATCCCGTCGAAGTGTAGTATTTGATAACTAGCTGATGAAAATTCGAATGAACGAAGGTGGTAAGCAAGAGGGCTTTCCCTCAATTCAATACAGTGGGTAAGAACTGAAGAAATTGTAAAGGTCTTGGGTTTTCCCTCCTCTTTCTTTAACCTCTAACAGATTGATTCTTATTGAAAAATATTTCTATCGCTCTTAGCTTTTGGTATCAAAGTAAATGGTGTAACTAATGAATCTCGTATTAAACTGGCTCCTATTATAAAGATGGCATTCAACTTCAGTTCTTGGAAAAAATGGTGATCGGTCCCTTGATCGCTTTTGTAGGATTGTTATCCGTACTTTTTCCGAATTATAAACATCCGGGACTTCAAGTGAGATTGACTCGCTAGAAAAATTCTCTGACAATTTTTGTTACATTTACGATTATTTTGTACAGTATACGGATTTTAAATGCACGAATTACGATCGCAACTATACGCTTACACACGGACTTTAGTTGGGGAATAGTTTCATTTGGTGAGTAACCTAAATTCTTCGCTGAAAGTCAATATACATTTTTGTTTCACAAAAAGAGCTGCAACCCGAACTTGCACATTTTGCAGTCAATGCAGTGCAATACAAGATCGCAGCAAACAGTTCAACAGAGAAAGCATGGGGAGCAAGTCAACCCATAGAGAATGTAAGAGAGGGAGTTGACTTATTCCTTGTGAGAGAAAGCACAGATTTCATAAAGGAATGAGAGTGGGTCTTGTTGCATCTCTGTTCGGTCTTGTGTCTGCATTCAAAGTCAGCACCATCTGGGGTCTATTTCTCCAATCTCCGTAAAGTTAAGAACTAGGAGTCTTGCGATTGCTCGGATTTGCTCAAGCGCTCGAGCAATTTGGCATGATAGCGTATCGATACTCAACTGAATATTGGTTAAAATTCTGTATGTAGGCCTATCTTAATTCTGAAAAGAAGGCTATGACGACATGAATATCATTAACTTACAGAAATTCCACAAAATCCTGTGAATCTACGATTTTTAAGTTTGTGAAAGAACAATTGACTTATGGATCCATAACTTTACAGAGTTTGGAGAAATAGACACCTGGATCTTACTATCCTGTCGTGTGACATGACACCTTGTTGTTTATTTGCTCTAATTTCTGATCTAGGTAAACTGGTAAAGCAATGTTTTTCTTCTCCCATGGATCCATGGCGGGAAATAAAATTCTAATTTCTAACTAATAAATGTCACAGGATCCAGCTTATTAACTTAAACACCCTAAAATGAAATCTTAGGAACACAGGGAAATAGCCTTGTAGCTATTAGTGTTGTCGCTATGTGCCATAATCGTACATCGATGCATCAGCAATTTTCAGTAGTAAACATCGATGCACATCGCGATGTACATCGAGAAAAAGTGTACTGAAATACTGAACGCTGTTACACTAAAATACTGAACAGAACAAATTAATAAGAGTGCGCTGGTACATCCGGGAACTTCTAGTAACGATGAAATGAAAGTTGAGTGGTCATAAATAAGGAATTTTTATGTATCATGATTTTTCCGACGACATATAATTTTTCCTTATAATAATATTATAATTATATTTGTATCTGATTTGTAAATGTAGTATATTTTTAAGGTTTGATTAATATTGCCTTGGATTCTAAGGCGTACTCCTGTATTAACTGATAAAATATATAAGGAAGCTGTAATTTATCATGAAGATAAATGATTGAAATTTTCTATTATCTGCTATTTTATAGGGATTAATCTTGTTACCAGGTCATCCTGACATCTTAATAACACACCTAGTCCCTGTTCGTGTTTCCACCTTGCAAAAACTCATAAAAAATACATAAATTTTGTAACATTTGGACGAGCAAAGACATGTCTAGAAAATTAAGTAAGAAATCTCTTGAGAATGAAACATTGAATTAGCATTGAAATTCTTCAAGGTTAACCTTCAGTCTGCAATTAGGAAGAGTGTAGATTTTCTACCGAACAAATCAACAAATCGGGGTCATATTGCCCAGACAGACAGTAATATATGTCACGATCCTCATTTTTCTTTCTACATAGAATTCCTATAAATGTTACGTCATTCAGTTAAGCACCTTTTCTATATTTTTGTGATCAGTTTGTAATTTAGGTCAAAAGTATACGACATATTGAATGGATGGTTGAGTACGGTGCGCAACAATGGTCATATTACCATACATTAGAAGAGCAATGAATCGAACATTTCCGGTTAGAAAATTTAGCAAAATTTCTCGCCAATTCATGTTGCTTTTACAAAACAATTGCAAAATCAGAGCAAAGCTGGAGGTCAGAACCAAATAGTACTATTTATTCAGCTGGCAACATTGAGATCTGGATGTTTTTCAATAAAAGCCGAAGTGAACAAATGGAAGAGTTATATTCTCAAAATTGTATGTATATTTAAACTTCTAAGCTGGTTAACCATTATGTCAATAAGAATTTCAATGTAAATATTAGGAAACTTCTATTTGCTCTGGTTCCTGAATTGAAACTTGTTAATTCTTGTATATACATAAGAGTAGAATTATATTGAAATGCCAATAATATCAGTGTCATAAATATTTGGTAAACATTGAGTAAATGATTAAATAATCAAACAAAATGGTCAAATTATAAATTGCAGCTTTCTAATGTTACATCAGTCTTGAGCTGACATTCAATTATATCACAAAAGCTGATCAATAAAAATGAATGACCCCCTTTTGAATTAACAGAGAAAAAAATATTTTCCCACTGTGGATCAATTTTGTTTATTAACATATTGTTTTCTCTAGCATAAATAATACATTTACTTTCCTGATTATTATCTCAATGGCTAACTTTTCATCACATATATAGAGGATGGATAAAAAACAAGAAGATCATGGGATATGATATTTATCACATGAATTTATCTTTGCCTTTCACACATTCTAAAAACAGCCCTCTTAAAGTTTCACAATAACATAAAAAAATAAATAAAAACTAAATATAAAAGTTCAAAAACCACATTTTTACCCAGAGTGAAATGTTTTCATATGAAGAACTGAAGTTGAAAGACAACATTGAAATCATAAGAGAATGCTCCTAATCTTTTTTATTTTTGACAGCCACTTCAACCATTCAGTGAAGATCTTTGCTTCCAAATTCATATCTTTAGAAAGCAAGGCATTAACTTGACATGACTCCTTGATGTAGTAAAGTCTGTTAAGTAGAACACATCCATAGGTGGAACACTTTTCTAAGTTTTGTTAATTTGAAATGATCGTAAGTAGAGCACCTCCCAAGTAGAACAGTTATATTAAGGTATCAAAGGTGTTCTACATACACAGTTATTTATAATACCTAAAGGATCAATATGTACATATTAGAATATTGTTTTTGTTTTCGTATATGTCTTCTAGATGGATTGATGGATTGCTATGCTTACATGTTAATTACAAAAGGCGTACTGAAATGTCATTGATATTAAAATTGCTATGAAAAAATATTGGTCAACAAAAATAATGTTTTCAAGCAAACAACTGTACCCTACTTGTATTATGCTAAATATATGGTACTGACTGACTTGTAAGTTACCATAGAACTATGTATTCAAATTTACTTTCAACAAAAAAGTAAGATATTGGAATCAATCCGGGGAATGGCAGCGTCTCATTTGTCCCAATATTTCTAGAGCGCTTACTTGGTTAGATTTCTTTGTAATGTTCATTTTTGGGCATGCTTAACAAATTATAAGGTGGTTATTTTGATCACTATACAAAGATGAGTAGAATTTGCAATTTGTAGCTATTTAATGTTTTTACGCTGGTGTCTATATATATATCTATGCTATTAATACTTGTATACATTGGATGCTATCAATTACTATCAGTAATACTGTCATCACACGTTTCAGCATGTGATGCTGGAAATATTCCATAAAAGGTAACACCGTTTCATCCACGAAAACGAAGCACACATTTTTCTGGAAGGAAATATGATTTTTTCTAAAGCTAATCTGAGCATAGTCATTGTATGTTTTTCAAAATATATTAAATTTGTCTGTTGAATCATGTCTTCCGTTTTTAATCTTGATATATTGAATAACCATTAATTTATTGATAATATTTCACTGTTCCAGGTGCTGTGGTTCCTGACTTGAAGGGCCTTCAAGATAATATTCACTGGGGGCAACACTAGAAATAAAAATGGAACCAAATTATACTATACCAAACAGTACGGCAACCAATTCACGACTTGAACTCGTTTCTAACAATGATGGTCTCGACCAATCATTTCAGAGCCAGAAATCATACAATAGTTCAAATGACTCATTTATGGAATATTCCCAGCAGTATCTTATGACAAAACACTCTGGGAATTTTAGATATAGACCATCGTCAAAACGATCGCGACGTCGTCTGGTTTACAAAAATGGTGAAATGAACATTGCCCATGCTAACATTAAAAAGCGAAGGCAGCGATTTTTAGCGGATATTTTCACAACTTTAGTGGATATTAAATGGCGATGGAATCTATTGATATTTACTATGGGCTTTATAGTTAGTTGGCTTATATTCGCATTTATATGGTGGTTGATATGTTTTTCACATCAGGATTTCCAGAATTTTGGACGGCCAGATTGGAAACCTTGTGTCGCGAATGTGAAAGACTTTACAACTGCACTGTTGTTTTCAATAGAAACGCAGCATACTATTGGATATGGATTCAGATTCACAACACCGAATTGTCCCGAGGCGATCCTAGTCATGATGCTGCAGTCGTGCTGTGGCGTAATAATCCAAGCTCTTATGACGGGGCTTGTATTCGCGAAGTTATCACGTCCGAAAAAACGTGCAGAAACACTCATGTTTAGTAAAAATGCAGTAATTTGTAAACGCAATGGAGAATTGAGTTTGATGTTCCGTGTTGGAGATATGCGGAAGTCTCACATCGTAGAAGCGCACATCAGAGTGATGATGATCACAAAAAAACTCACAAAAGAGGGAGAGATTATCCCATTATACCAAGAGGAGTTAGAATTAGACTTACCGGATGGGAAATTATTCCTAGTCTGGCCAATCATAGTTGAGCATAAAATTGACGCAAACAGCCCATTTTGGGATATATCCGCTATAGACTTACACAGCCAGCAGTTTGAGCTTATTGCTGTTTTAGAAGGTATTGTTGAATCAACAGGGATGACCACCCAAGCGCGTACTTCTTACCTCCCAGAGGAGGTTCTATGGGGGCACAGATTTGAAAGGTTAGTGACATACCAGCGTGAAAATGGGGAATATCAAATCAACTATGCACGGTTCCATGCCACCGTTCCTCAGGATGTCCCACAGCATAGTGCAAAAGAACTCGCTGAACTTGCATCAACTGTATCATCAAATGATAAACTAAATGTACATCATGAAATTGATGAAGATGAAGACACTGAGACAATATCATATCGTTCTCATTCGCCAGTAGAGGGTCGGATTATGGCCAATGGGGAGGCTCAAACATACGAGTCGAACCACAAACATAACTCAGACAGAGATGTTATCATAAACATGTAGGCAACTTTGGTACGTGAGAATTTTAAACTACGCAACTGAGTATTAAAGATCTGTGAAACACAAGGCTTCACCGTTGTCTGTACATAAATTATTTGCATCGCAAAATGATTGTATTCATTTTTCTAACAATTTTGGTTCCAAGTCTTAATAAGAATAGCAAATGTTCAAAGTTATTATGAACTTTGCAATTTGCCATTTATTATTTATTACTGTTTCCAATAGCAAGCCTTATGTACTGAGTGGCAGAATAAATCCAAAACAGAACAGGGAAATAATTAACAGAACCAACTGGTAAACCTTGAAGAATGCTTGCTATGTACACAGCTACATCGTATCCATCTCCATCAAAGCCCATCTTCATCCCCGGGGCTCAATGCTTCGATCAAGCAAACTGACAGGAGGCGTCTAACCAAGATAACTAAAATCTTGACCCTGAAATGTCTGTTTTGGGTTTATATGATTAAATTTAATTGATTTAAGTCTTATTTTGTAAATATTGATCAACTTTTGAATGTTAAGAACTTTTGGGTGCAATCCAGAAGTGATGTATGCTCAAGGAAGGAAGTAGCCCTGAGCTTAGTAATGTAATTGATCTATAAGTTAACTGAGGTAAAAATAATATGGCCTAACGAAGTCAGGGTAGTATTAAAGACAGTATTCTCTTTGTAATTAGATAGAAGCTCAATTAGCGCACATGTAGGCCCCAGAGGTAATCAGCCAGCTGGTTTCGTTAATTGCATCGTGATCTGGTTTTGATATAGGAAAATCCTCAGTCAAAATCTTGTAGATAGTGTTTCCATTTAAATGTTCATAGAAAGCTTGGTAATCAGGCCCATAGCCAGAGGGAGCTACCTACCTGGCTTCGGGCCTGGTAATTTATATCAGGGGATTAAGTACTTGCTACAACTCTTTTGCTTTTCCCATAAGTTCCCATAAGTTCAAAGCCTTTGATGATGTTAAAGTGGATCAAGGCATTTGGTATTCTGCAAGGGTGGTGTGTGACAAAATTCTTCTCATAAAAAAGTCAGACTGCTTTTTCTTTTTCTTAATTACATGCAGAAGCCATCATCTTACTGGCATATGTTACCTTCTGGCGCAGTCTGTAAAGTAGCATGGATAAACCTGATACCAATTTTTGTTTGTTTATATGCTACTTAGTAACTTAGAATACTTATAGATAGTGGCTATCTCTATGGTAATATATAGAGGTAACAGTAATGTATCTATGGTGATAAAGTCAGAATTATGTTTCATTCTAAGAAAGGTAGGTGTACTCACCACCGAGTGATTTCTTTGTGAAATGAACACAATGAAAGAAAGTCTTGTTGTTTGCTTGGTTTTTCCTTTTTTGAAGCAAGCCTAGATTTTGGTAATTATTCAGCACTTCAGCGTAATGGTTCTCAATTTTAAGTTGTTTACAAACAGTTTTGTTAAGGCAAGCAATATCAGGTAACGATACTGTGAAGTCAAGCATTTTACATGTACTGTAACAGGCCCATAGCCAGTGGGTTCGGGCCAAATATTCTTTAAAAATCATGCAATTTTCCACCATTCTGAGCACTTTTCATTTTTGGCCATTTTAGGCTGAAGTTGTCAAAAGTGACCCCCCCTCCCCTTGGCAAATCCTGGCTACGGGCCTGCTGTAAAGTCAAGACTATTCATTTTGTAACATGATAAACATGTGTAAATAGTATTTGTGAACCATTTAAGAGTCTCAAAATTGCATGTAGTCTTAACCATAGACTTGTTTTACCCAAGTGAATATCAATGTTAACCTGACTGAGGATACTCTCTCATTAAAGTTTTACATGAAATGAATCTCATGATATAGTGATTCATCGTTTAACTGACAACTGACATCTCATTGATTCAATACTCATAAAACTCCCTGGGTCTTTTTATAGATCTCGTTTAAGTAATCGCCCGGTAGACTAATGCTTGTACATCGTGTGAATACTGAATGAAATCTCAAGATCCGCACGTTGACTCATCAAATGTCTGCAAGGAATCAGATCAAATTCAAGAATTGTTTTACTGATCAAGCGTGTAAACAGGATCCAAGTACAGCATTTATTGATCCAAATTGTCAGCAGTTGGAAGATAGTATCACAGGATTCACAGGGGGCTTGGGAAGTGATCATTTTTCAGTCTTAATGTGAAAAGAAGATTCAGACTTCTCAAATAAGTTTTTCTCATCCTTTAACTCTTTCATCTAAGTAAGAAATATAGTATTGCCCTCAGCGTGATATCTGGATTATGTATGTCACTTTAAACTCCTCTGCCACTAGAATCCCCTAATACTAATGTATATATCATTCCACTCTTATGTTAAATGCCATGTCAGTCATGTATGGAATATTATGCTACTTTTATGGGGTTATTCAATATTATTTTGCCATTTAAAATATGATATCGTTTCAATATCAACATTATGTAAAATATCATGCTACTTATTTGTGGAATATCACATTTTCTTGACATGGAATATCTAGTTTTCATTTATGGAATGCCATGGTAGATATATGGAATGCCAGTCATATTTGAAATATCATGTCCTTATATGTGGAATATCATGGCAAAGATATATACGTAGAATATCCATCCATACATGGTATATCATGTTTAAAGTGGAATATCATGACAGCCATACATGGAATATCATACCACTATGCTGTGGCATTTAAAAAGTACTAACTTTATCTCTGGGTTATACTGATCATAGTTTTAAAGGGAAATTGTTCACACCTCCTTGCCGATGTTGCAATAATTTCCCAGACTTATGGCCCACTACAGATTATAGTTTAGCTACTTTAAAACAAAGGTTACAATTTTGTGTATTTTCACTCCAAGTATCAATATCAAAGGGAGGGGTTGAAAGACATTGGATATCATGAAGTTTTTATCATGGCTGCGCCACCTATCATGTAGGTCCCTGGCCCTCTGAGAATAATTTAAATAGAGTTCAATCGGTGCTATTGCCTGATAATATAGGAGAAAATGGATTATATTCTTGCATTTTATACAGGAGAAATTCAGATTTTGTGATCGCATTAACAGTCTATGGATGATTTTTAAGTTTCATGAAATTAACTTGTGTAGCAATTAGGGAAAGCTTATAAGGGTTGTGAAATGAGATTTGAAGAACTTGTTTGTTCCAAGCTCAATATGCCATGAGGCAAACACTAGGAAGATTAAGCTTCACATTTTTAAGAGAACTTATACTTGATCATGTGTAATTATGGTCCTCTGGGGATAAGGTCTCCCCTTCATAGTATTTACTTGCCCGAGTGAGTATAAGGAAAATATTTGTTATTAGGTCCCTGGAAAAAATAATTGATAGGAGAGAGTAACCCCTAGGGGTAATCATATAACACATTAACATACAAGTCCTCTTAAACCACCTAAAGAACACATCTTGATTATTTGACCTGATTCGCTGCACTCTGCAATAATATTGACTCAAAGGCTTACGAAATCGAAATCGTATTTCCTCATTCAGAGTTTCAAAACAACTTCAGATTATTTCCACATCCAGACTTGTTTCTTATTTTTAGAAATCCAGACTAAAATTAACCTGTCCATCTTTGCACTGATAATACAGAGCAGTCTCAGAAATCCAGCTTGCCATGTTTTGAGGTGATAAGATATACCCTTAGTTTTATTTTTAGCAAATCCATGTCTATTTTCGGAGTGCCATCTCATGAGATCAATCTACACCTGCTCATGCCAAATAAAAACCTTTTTCAAAAAATGTATTACTTCCAAACAAATTTAGGTTTTCAAGCTAACTTTTCCATTTATGCCTTTGTTATTTTCCTGTTTTGCCCATTGTTCAGTAGATCATTTCATAACTATATTTCATAACAAACATATTTGATACTAATATGTGATATCCACACTCAATTTCTCTTTCTTGATGAGTATTGGTTTTACTTTATTGGTATTATACAGAATCAGGCAATAAGTTGGTGAGGGAGATAAGTAGTTTCTCTAACACATAAGTCATAATTTGATCAGTCCTAACATCCATAAATCATAATTTGAGCCATAAGTCATAATTTGAGCCATAAGTCATAATTTGAGCCATAAGTCATAATTTGGGCCATAAGTCATAATCTGAGCCATAAGTCATAATTTGAGCCATAAGTCATAATTTGAGCCATAAGTCAAAATTTGAGCCATAAGTCATAATTTGAGCCATAAGTCAAAATTTGAGCCATAAGTCATAATCTGCGCCATAATTTGAGCTTTAAGTCATGATTTGAGCTCTAAATCAATCCCCTTCAATTTAATCCCCATCCTATTATAGAAGAAATCAATGTTATGATGAAATCATGCCCTCTCCCCCCCATGAAAAATTAAGTTGTCCTTCCAAAACTTTTGATATTTTGACACTACTCTTATTATGCATAATGCAAGTCAAGATGCCTTCTTATGCTGTACAAAATGTTTTAACAACTCATGCTTTTCTTCAAAAATATCAGAAACATGATAAAGTTGAACAATTTTCTTGACTGTGGCAAATATACAGTATACAATAATGGAATATCACAATTTGCAAATAATAATTGTTTGATTCATGTATTGATTGTTTTCTAAGGAACATTTGTGAAAAGCTATTCTTCATGTCTGATAAGTGTTAATTAGGATTATAGCCCATCGATTGGTTTCTCTCTAAAAGCTTTTTGTAACCCGACCCAATTTAACCCCATTGACATTTTGAGAACAATTTTTAGTACTCTGCAGTAATGGGAATCATAGGTTTGAACAAATGGTTTAAAACATCAGCAGTATTTTTTGCCCCGAACCATTAACAGTCTAGTAGTCACAAACAAATTAGGTGCCTTAAAATGTGTATTTTCAATGTGAATTCTATTATTCTTTCTGCATCATGGATTTCATGTTAAAGTATAAAAAATGTTCACCTTAAAAAGATTGAAATAGCATAATGAGGTGTTTAACATGATGTAGAGGCCTATAAAGAGGTAACTACTTTACATGAATGTCAGGATTCCTAAACTAATTCAACTGTATCTATAAGGTCAATTGGTGAAGAAACTGTATTCAATCCTATCCCCATCTTGATCTAACAAGGTATTACAACATGACTGAAACAGGCCTGTCAACTGTCCCGCAATTTGCGTATTTGTCATGCATTTGCTGAAGAATTTGAAGTCATGCCAGTTTTTTTTACGATACGGTAAAAATACGAACGCCGGAAAAAAACGAACGCAATTTGTTCGGATTTGTCACGCGAATCCCGTATGTGTCACGCATGTTCATTGGAAATTTTTCGTACCTCCCCCCCCCTCCCGTTGACGACAACGCGAGCGTAGCGAGCGCGAAAAATTTGAGGTGTTCAAAGTTTAGCAAAGGTGCTCAAACTTTGGCCAAAGGTGTTTAAAAGTTGGCCAAAGGTGTTCAAAATTTGGACACAAGTGTTCAGATTTGGACTTAGGTGTCCAACATTTTGAAGTCACTCATATTAGGTGGTCCCAAGTTGACAGCCCTGCTGAAAGAACACGCTGATTTAAATATAACAGTTTGTCCTATCCCATGAGTGATTATATATTACAATATGGTCCCAGTTGTCAACTCAACAGGTTTGCATACATTCTGTAAGTAATTCATTTTGTTTTTCATTTCGAGCACTGACCAATGACTCAACCCTTGCAAAGCTTTTTTTATGCTAAAACGGGGAAGTTTTGTTTTTGAAGATTGACACTTGCATACCTGGAGGGCCTGATTAGAATATAAAGTTCTCTTTAATAAAAAGATACAAAATCAAACTGTATACATAACATGCATAAGGTATGGTCATTTTTCATTTTTAGATGACCTTTTAGTGCTTTTACCTTACCACTTAACAAAATACTTTGCAAAACATTTATGAAATCATTCAAGTTGTATAAAATCACATGTATGTAGTTCGTGTTGAAGACCTATTTCCTAAGCTGCACAAGTGGCACTAAGCAGTGTTTGAATATAGACTTAGTTAAATAACTGGAAAATATTTCAGATTGTGTCTCACCATAACTTTCCTACTTTTAGTTTTGAACCTCATAAAATGCGTCATAACATCCCATATTCTTAAATTTATGTGAAACGAAAATGAGGGTTTCATGCTGAACTTAACTTAATCTCTGTAGTTAACTTAATGACTGTAGTTGTTCATCTATGCCAATGATAACATATTCCCTTTGAAGAATGGTAGTTGGAAATTAGCAACATTATTTTAGTCATCTTGGAAGTAATTGTTCATCAAGAGTAATGGAAATTCCCTGTCATTCTTGTTCGACTTGAGCAATTAAAGTAGAGCATAAGGCCATATTAACATTGTTATTTGAAGGCTTTGTACTGTTTAGAGGATCACAAGAGTCTTGTATTGGAACCCTTACCCTTTGGCTTTATATAGTCGGATTGCACTCTTTAAGAGACTTTCTCTGTATAATTTAGACTCTCACTAGGCTCTGCACATCAGGGTACAACAGTACACCCCATAAATAAACCCATCTTACCACTTTAACACAGCTTAGTGATTGAGGAAATGGAGGGAGGAGGTTGTGGCGCCACAACGTGATGATGCAATATGAAGGACTATCATGCTCTCTTGAGTATAATGTACCTTTACT